TGTGTCTGTCAATCATGAACAGGAGCTCCAGGGTCTCACAGCCCCCCAGTGGTGACTCGTGACATTTGTCACCCCTTGGTAAAGATTTAGGTTTCGCTTTGCCTCTCTGCTGACCAGGGATTTGGCAGTCCCACTGGGATGGTGTGGAAGTCTTTGTAAAATGCCCCCCCCCCCCGGGCTCTTTACTTCTCTTCTGACACACATTGCAGGCCCTCAAGTTCAGCAGTGTCCTGAGGGTCTCAGGGCAGCACTCCATTGTACCTGCACACCACAGGACAGGCAGACAACCTCACAGCTCATCAGGAGAAGGACCACGGGGCCAAGAGCCACACCCTGAAAGCCAGGAATCATGCTCTCAGGGGCTCCAGGTCCTCTTTACTATGGCACAGAAGCCCCTTGGGGCCTTGTGAAAGGGGTTGAACTGGAAACTCCTGCAGCCCCAAGGATCTCCTGGCCCTACATGAGGATGGCCCCAAGGAAGAGGTGAAAGGATCGGGTTGTCTAAACCCTAAGAAGTCACTGTCAGTGGCAGAATGTGCCTGGTCATCACCAGCTGCCATTCTGGAGGGTGAGATTTGGGCAGGCAGTGAGCCAAGTGCTCTGAGTTTGTGACCTTGTGACCGGGATCATATTACACACACTTGACCCAGGGCTAGTGACCCTCAGCCATGCTCTCAGCACCGAACTCTTCCCTGGGACCTCTCTCTCTCAATCCCACCTATCTCTTCCCACCCAGAACCATGATCAGAGCATCCTATGAGCAGGGCATCAAGGGACATAAGCAGAGAGAACTAGTGATGAGGCTGGGACCCGGGGCCATGGAAGCCCTGACGTGGCTCTGCTCACAGACACTCAGCAAGTCATCCACCTCTGTGATGAGTGAGTGAAGCATTGGCACACTGCCCCCACCCTCATTTAATAGTCCAGGAGCAAGGGCCGGCAGAACCTTGACTTTGTATGGGACCTTAAACATAATGCGTGGTAAAGGGGTTCAGACCCTAAGCATGATGTTTGGTAAAGGGGTTCCGGGACCTTCTGTCTCACTTGAGAATCTTCCTGACAGCAGAGCAACAGTCACACTCAGGTGAGAACAGTCCTGTGAAAAGGATGCTCCGCAGACGCAGGAGCCCTGTACCTGGTGAACTGTCTTGTGCTGTTAGTGAGGTTGGAGTAAGTGGGTGGCATTCAGGTGTCATATATATATATTAGCCTAGCAAAGGTACCAGTGTCGGGCCCAGGAATGTGGAGACCAAGGCCAGTGGGAGGAGTGAATGGGGCATGAGGTCCAGGCAGGCCAGACTCAGAGCTCTTTGGATGTACCCAGGACTTGGGATAGACTAAGAATCCAATCCACCAGAGGAATGACACCCGAGAGTTCCACTAGGCAGAGTTCCTATGTGGCCGACCCTGCAAGATGAGACTGTGCAGTTAGGAGGGAATCAGGTCCAGGTCCTGACAGAGCAGCACAACCCAAAGGCTGAGGGACGAGAGACTGTGCCACCTGCTCTGGCCACTGACTTTGAAAGGAGGGCCACAAACTGGTCACAGGAACCTGCCCCAGTCTAAGGCTGGTATGGGTGCCTTGCCCACCTGTGCCAATAGTTTGCATGTGAGCCTTAAGAAGTAACCATACCCAGTCTATGGCCTCCTGTAGACATGGCTGGGAGTGGCCATGAGCTGTTTTCTGTCCACCATATTTCCAGACCTGGTAGGCCAATTCTCTGTTGAATGTAGTAGCTAGGCTTTCCTGAGGGCTTCTGAGGGCTGCAGGGGAGCGTGACACACAGAAGGCACAGCCGGGTCCTTTGCTCCACATTAGCAAGCTCAGCCTCCAGCTACAGAGCCTGTAGCTGGAGATTTTCTCTCAGAGGAGCCAGGGGATGGATGTCAGGAATCAGACTGGTCAGTCAGGCCCAGCAAGAGGAATATGGGTGGGCCATAGGCTTGACATGCTAGTGTGGGACAATGGAGGACATGGGCAGTTCACTATCCCTGGACTTGCTGGATAGAGTGGGATGCTCTTGGGGGGGTGTCTGTCCCCCATGGAGTAGCTTGTCCCATGCAGAATGAGCTCTTCCGCCCTTCAAAGCCAAGACCATATTGATATGCTTAGCTGCTGACCCTTGGCCCTGGGAGTCCAGAATGGAGTCAGAGAGGTCCTGGGGCAGGGAGAAGGATAAAGCCACAGGTGACCCTGACTCTTCTCTGGACAAGGGGTGGATCTGGTCCAGAGCCCATGGAATGTTCTTGGTAGGTGCCGGCTCACACTCAACATTGGGGGAGCTAGCTGCCAAGCTCCTGGTCGTGGGGAAGCTGCAGAAGGTTTTTGTGTCAAGAGGCAGAGCGACTGCATGAATCTTTCATTAGGGAGCAACGCGCAGCCCAGGAACATCTGGTGGAGTCTCCAGGGAGCTGGGCCAGCGCAGAAAGCAGGCACTGTGAAATTCGGGAGGCAGAGGGGGAGGAAGGAGCTGGGAGGCAGGTGGGATGCCAACCTCCCTGCTTGCCTCCTGATCCTCGGGCACTGTAGAGCCCAGGACAAAAGGGCAGGTGGGTAAATAGCTCTTCCCCATCCAGAGGGCCCCCAGTTCTGCTGTTTTACCTCTATCGACATCAGCAAAGACCTGCCCAGTATGGGGTAATCAACCACCCTATACCTACCCTCCAGGTCAGAACACAGCAGCTCTGAATGGGAGGGCCTCCAGGGAGTTCCATACTGGAGACAAGCTAATACTCTCCATAGGCAGAGGTGACAGACAGACAGGTATACCACTTCCACTGGCCTGAAGCTAGTGGAAGGTCCAGTGCGTATGTAGGGTCTCTCCCCTGACAAGTATGTTTGTGTTGTGGACTGAGGCTGTGCTAAGGGCCACAGGGTCACAGTGGACAGCTAGGACCACCTGAAGACTCCTGAGACTCTGAACCAGGCCAGCATGTTCCCTTGCCAGGGGAACATCAGACCAATGGCAACTTGCCCAGCTGCGTGAACCCAGACTCCCCAGGGCAAAGTGTGCACAGTGAACTGAGTCCACACAGCCGTTTCCAGCTCTTTCTGGCTCCCACCCATTCTACCGTACCGACCTGGTCTGAAGAGCCAGGTAGCCAGAGGGTCCACCCAGACCCTGGCCATCCAAACAGGCCTGGTGACTATAGACAGGTCCTTGTCATCAACTAAGCCCAGATCTAGGTCAGACTGGGCCAGCACTAATGTCCCAAAGTTTGCTTCTGAGAACCCCAGGCTCTGAGGGGGTGGATGATGCTGAGTCTGTGCTTCGGAGCAGGAAGCCTGACTGGGATCCCCCCTTTGAGCCCTTCCCTTGAGCTGGTCACCTTGTTTCCTTCTAGCTGAGAACCAACCCCTTTGGCCCTGTACGTAGCAGTGACCACAGCAGGTCTATCTTCTCACCTCTTTTTGCCAAATGCCCAGTGGGCGCATGCCTACTCATCCCCAGCCCTGTGCAGAGCCGTACCAAGAACTGGCTCCTCCCAGGATTTTCAAAGGGAACTCTCTCCTCACAAGACTTTAGCCATTGTCTGTCTAAAGACTGTAGCCCACTGTGACAGTGCCTCCCCCAGGTTGTAAGGAGAGAGCTCTGATTGGCTAAGCAGTGCTGATGTCTGGTAGCCTTTTCCGACTGGGTTGCCTGTAGGACATCTACAGCTCAGCCTTTGCTGGGCTCTGAGCCTCCCCTGGAATCTCTCCCTTTTCCCCATGGCCTGCCCCAGACAATGAACCTGGTGTCTTCCAGTCTCTGAACCACGCTTCTCAGTCTCTTGACCTTCAGGCCCCTCCCTGATCCTTCTGCGGCGGCTCCTCTGCTCAGCTGGGCTCTAGACTACACTCTCCACAGTCCCAAAGCCTATGCCAGCCTGATGGAGGAAGCTGGGCACCACAGAGCCTGCACCAAAGCTAATGTCTCTGCTTACCTGAGTGCCCAGGCCTCCTTGAATGACACCTTTCTGAGATTAGAGTGACTTCCTAGAGCATGACACTGGAAGAGAGTGGCCCAAGTACCAATGCGGCCCAGCTGTCCCTCTTGCTATCCCTTCAGCCTGAGGCACGAGTCCCAGAGCCCATACCAGCCTCTGTTGTGGAAGGAAAAGACGGGAAGAGGGGCAAGGAGGGAGGCTCATTTCCATGTTTGCCTGGAATCTCACTTAAGGAAAGGTACCTGGGCACAAGGGCAGCACCCATATCCCTGCCTGACCCTCGTTGGCCACCTGGGACCTCCCATGCCATACCAGATGGAATATTCCCATCCTCAGCCCTACCCTCTCTGACCAGCCTGTGACCACTAAGGAAGGAGTGGGTTTTGTCCTTGGAGCCGCTAGGAAAGCTTAGCCACATGCCCCTCCCCTCTGGAGCCCACCCCACCCGTGCCCTCAGCAGCTGGCTCCTTGGCACTGGCACCCGGATCCCTTTGACAGCACATTTGGCTTCAGTCCCATCGATCTGCACACAGGCACCGAGGTGCCAAGCCTGGCTGTGGGCAAGGATGAGGACTCTGGAAAGACTGAGAGAGTGGGGCGCATTTCTCTGGATGCTCCGGGACCTTCCAGCATAACCCCAGCTCATCCTGACCCAGCTGCCAAAGGAAACAGATCTAGCCCTTCACGGTCAGGGGGCCTTGCGTAACCAGGGTGGAGAGGACCATCCCTGCGAATACGGACATTGGTGGAGATGATGCAGCCTTGAGACCACCATGAGGCGCGGCTGCTGTATTCACAGTTCCAGATGGCCCACCCAGGCCAACCCACCCCACATCTTTAGAGCACCAGTCAAGTACACGTGGGGAAGCAGCGGGCACCAAGACATATTAAAGGGCCCAGAGGTTACATGGAGGTGATCTGGATAGGAGGCAGCCAGATTCCCTCAGATCTGGCCCTCTCTGAAAGCTGCCATGCCAAGGGACCCGCACCCAGGTCAGACTCAGCCCCCACCTGCACCCCAACACAGATGCCAGGAACCTACACTTTAGCGAGTCCCACTCTGTCCTTACCTGTTCCATGCTGGCCTTGCCTACATCCACCTGCTCCCAGGCCGTCCTCTGCGGCAGCGCTGCCAACTGTCTTCTGCCTCCTAACATGGGCTGCCAGCGATCTGCTGTGGGTTTTGTTCATGGGGTTTGGCCTCATGCAGCCGCCGGCACTCGAGATGGCAAGCGTCCATCTTTCTCCATACCCATCCCTCACCTCTGCAGTCTTCCTGTGCCTCCTGTGTCCCCATGGTGCCCGCTCTGAGGGAGTTGGCACGGACAGAGCCCGGCCCGCCTCTGCAGCTGAGGAAAGCCATGCTTCTTTTTTTCTGTATTTTAAACACACACACATACTCTCTCTCTCACACACACACACACATGCCAAGCCCCCCACCCCCGACAACACGCATCCCTTCTGTCAGGAACAGACCTAGCCAAGAAAGCCCCTCGCAGGCGGGGGCAGAGCGGAGGGGCTTCGCAGAGCTGGTGTAAACCCAGCCCCATGGTTCCGTCCCTTCCTGGCCCCAGTACGCTGCCTCTTACGTAAACCACCAGGAAGGAATCAAAAGGAAACGCAAATCCATGTCACATTTTGGAGCCTCCTGATTGGGTACACCTTTTAACTGGCTTGGTCCTTCCAAGCATGCTCTGGCCTCAGCCATCCTGAACCCTGCCTCGCTACCCACCTCCCTCATTATTGTCCAATACAGCTGGATACCCCCAACTGGCCTGTGCTACAGTGACCACATCCAACCCCTGGTGCCCATTCCTGGAAGGGTATTGATTTTTGAGACCAATTCTGGAACATACGCTGAGAACTCTGATGTGGTCTGCTCACTGGCCAAGAATCTAGTAGCCACAGGACAGAGATTTCTGGGTGTTTTGGGTGAACCTTCAGGTGACCTAAGTCTTGGGTGACCAGAAGAGGTACCCAGGGGACATGAGAGCCAAGGCCAACCCCAGGTGGGGGACAGAAAATGGAAAAAGAGGAAAGTGGTCAGACCTCCAGCTAGCTACCCCAGGGCAGTGAGACCATCAGAGCCTCCTGCCTTCTTGATGGCATTTGTTTTCTTTGTTGTGGGTAAGGACTTCAGTTTTGTCCACCGACTAGAACATGCTTCTGAGAGATGTGGTAGAGGCTCTGTGGGGCCTCGGGACAGTATGGCTTCTGTGATGAAAGGCAGACTCTGTGGTCACATGGTACTCATCCCTTGACCTGCTCCGTTCCTTTCTTAGAACTGATCTGGAGCCCAGAATTGGGGCCAGTTGTAGTGGGTAGCTGCTCCAGCTTTGACCTGGAAGTACTACCCCCAGTGAGGCTTCCGGTAACTGTCATGCCTACCTATGACCTGCCCCTGAGGTGGGGCCGAGACAGGAGCCCTTAAGACCCAAGATCTGGATATGCTGGCTCTCTTGGTTCCTGGTGATCCTGGATGCTGGATGGTAGACCGAGCAGAGTTCTCCAGAGAACACTGCTGGACTGCACTTCACCTCTCCCGGATCCGGTAACCAATCCCTTTACTTGTTGTAGGTACTACAGCCAGTCATGAGAGCTGCTCCCTCTGAGAGGGATCAAGGAGAGGAAAGAACTGGACTCTGTCCCTCCTCAGTGACCATCCAACCTTGACTACCCATTTTTCACCTTTGCCCCTGCTCACCACATCTCCTGTGCAGGAAGGACATCAAAGGCAGGAAGAACTGAACACAGCCCCAGCCCAGGTCAGCGGGGCGAGGCCAGCCGACGAGCAGCCCCTTCCCTCGATCTACTTCACTGACCCTTTTCTCCTTAGCCTTGGCCATCTGGCTGGCTCTGGGTCAACGGTCATCCCAGGCTCTTTCACTTGAGACCAATCTGTACCTAGTTGTTCGGCCTAATTGCATTTTCAGGCATTGTGGGTTTTTTGTTTGGGTTTTTTTTTTTTTTTTTTTGGCAGAGGAGTTAAATTTTCCTTCACTCACTATATTCAGTAGTAGTTGACCTAAACTTAGCTTCAAACATCCTCGAAACACCCCCAAAATGGGGATCAGGAACCATCCCATCTTGGTTCATACCCACACCCCAAGTCTAAGTCCAGCATTGGGTGCTCTAATCCAAGTAGGTACCAATCTTCAGTCTTCCAGTGTATGCCTGCCAGCTGGCCAAGACCCTCGGCTTCCGAGCTCTCTCTGTCCTCTGACAATGGGGCAGCCTAGAGAGTGTGTGCATCTTCTCAGGCGTCTGTCCACCAGCAAGAATGGCCGTGCACATTCAGAACTAAGTGGGAAAAGCTTCTCAGGATCTCCTACCTTGCCTCGTGGTGTTGACAGTTCCTGTTCCTTCAAATAACATGAAGAGGGCTAAGCAGCCACTGTCATTGAACCTGTGACTGAACATATGCATGTCCTGGGCATGGGTTGGGGACCCCACTGTCAAAGTGAAACATCAGACATTTAAGTAGACCTAGGCTGAGCTTTCTGAGGTGGTAGTCTGGTCAGGCAGGTGTCAAGAGAGCCTAAGTGTGAGAGAACAGGACACAGCCTGGGGTACACCCTGCTTCAGGGCCATCTCCAGGAGACTGTATCACAGGTGTCACCCCGAGCCTGGGGTTCAGGAGACAGAAGTAAGGTTGGCTTCCTGTCTTAGGAAGAAGGGTCCAGAGCTCAGGGTAGCAGATCCAGGGGCCATCTCTCTGCCTTTGGAGGTCCCCATGTTTAAGATTCCTGGACTGACCTGGCCATCATTCCTATGGTGCCTTAATGGCCTGCAAAGCCTGGGGCATCTAGAGTTGGCACCCAGCAGCTTCTCAGCTTCTAGCCTGAGATGGATGTTCTTTGGACCAAGAGAATGAAGGAAAAGTCCTGGCTGTGTCCATACTGTGTCCTTGATCACTCAAGGGGATTGTTGCACCTAAGCCTGGACCAGCATGGCTCCCAGAAAAGTGACCCAGGTGATGACCTTGGTACAGGACAGTGGAGGAAAGAGGACCCACCCCTGACCTTGGTGCAGGACAGTGGAGGAGAGAGGACCCACCCCTGACCTTGATGCAGGACAGTGGAGGAGAGAGGACCCACCCCTGACCTTGATGCAGGACAGTGGAGGAGAGAGGACCCACCCCTGACCTTGATGCAGGACAGTGGAGGAGAGAGGACCCACCGCTGACCTTGATGGGCATTCTGGTTTCTGTTGCTGCTATAAACACTGTGACCAAAACCAACTTACCAGAGGGAAGGGCTTGTTTTACTGTACAGCTCCCAGGTTAGGGTCTATCACTGAGGAAAGTCAGGGCCAAAAACAGAAACGCTGCTTACTGGCTCATTTCCTGGCTTATCCCCGGGCTCACGCTTGACGAGCTTTTTCACACAGCCTAGGGAATGACTCTGCCTACAACAGATGGGCCTTCCTACCTCAATTCCTCACAGACATGTTCACAGGCCAGCTTGATCAAGGCTATTCCTCAACTGAGGCTTCAACTTGCAGCTGACTCTAGACTATGCCAAGTTGACAATTAAAGCTAACTAGGACAGTGCAGGGTCGTTGAACCACCTAGGGTACCCAATTGGCCTTAGGTCTGACATGGGTCTGACCTAAGTTAGCTCCTAGGTAGGTCTTTAAGTAAACCTTCTACACTTCCTGAAGATAACTTTCTGAAATATGCCCTGGTGGGTCAGCCCCAGCAACTCATACATGTGATAAATGCTTATGATATACGTGTGTGAGAGCCATGTGTGACCCATGGATGTGGCCTGCACGCCTTCTGTGGTGCTCCTCTATGAAAATAGCTCTCCCTCCCGCCACCTACCGGTCTCTATTTGTCACACTTCTCTCGTGCACCTGCTCAACAGGCAAAATGGGTAGGTGTGAGATTAGCAATGTTAACTCCTAGTTCTGGGAAGTTCAGCGCTTCCTAATGTCCAGGTATCAATTTTTGGCCAGTTGGGTTTTCCCCTTACTCTTAAGCTATAATGTTTTATTTCTCACTCATTTTCTTACTGGCCTTTCATTTAGCTGTTGATTGATGAGAATTCCTTGTGTGTGACAGGCATTAGCACCATCACACAAACAACCATTTCTTTCATTTTCTCCACTCTGTTGCCTTGGGTGGAGCACAGCACCTTTCCTTCAGTACTGTCCCTTGTCGCTGTCCCTAGGTGTTGCACAGCCTTGCCCACTTCAGCTAATGCAGGACCCATCTGCGTTATCCCCAGGCCTGTGTGAAATTTCTGACTTCTTTTTTTTTAAAGATGTATTTATTTATTATGTATACCATGTTTTGCCTGCATGTATGTCTGCAGGTCAGAAGGCAGCACCAGATCTCATTACAGATGGTTGTGAGCCACCATGTGGTTGCTGGGATTTGAACTCAGGACCTCTGGAAGAACAACCAGTGCTTTTTAACTTCTGAGCCATCTCCCCAGCTTTTTTTGTGTGTGTAAAATTTTTTTTTCAAGACAGGGTTTCTCTGTGTAGCTTTGGTGCCTTTTCTGGAACTCATTCTGTAGCCCAGCCTGGCCTCGAACTCACAGAGATCCACCTGCCTCTGCCTCCTGAGTGCTGGGATTAAAGGTGTGCGCCACCACCTCCCGGGCCTGTGTGCAATTTCACATTTGTCTCTACTGCAAACGTTTCAAATCACAGTGGAGCCTGACTCAGGTAAAGAATGGTCCAGAATCACCTATTTGACTTTTCCTCCTGAGAGAATCTTCTTCTTTCCTTGCTGCAGAACAAGAGCTTGACCTCATTTCCGGCATTTCCTCTGTTCTGTTTATCTGAAGGTCTCCCTCTGTCTGCACATCGGCCACTCTGCTCTTTGTTATTTTATAACTTGCTACTTGCATAGCAACTCTGCCAACCCATTTTTAGGATCCATTATGATTATTAAAGAAATAGACATTGATTGTTTTCTTAGGTGTGGGTTTTTGTTACTGTAATAAATGTTGAGAACTGACTGATAAGGATAAGTAATTTATCCTTACCTTTTGGAGATTCATGACTGTGATGGGTTGCCTGTAGTGAAGCAGAATCATGGTAGCAGTATGAAGGGAGCAAGAGAGAAGGGCTGGGCCCCCTATTCTTTTCACAGGCACACCACCAAAGACCCAAAGACCTCCCTCTGACCCCATCTCATAAAACTTTCATCACCTCCCAATAGTACCACATTGGGGACCAAGCCTTTTAACACATGGGACTTGGGGGATACTCTAGAGCCAAAATATGGTGTTGTGATACAACATACGTTATATAAAACATACTGTCTTAATGGATTATAAATGTTCAGTGTGATAATAAGCCATTCACACTGCTGCATAGCCATCACCACTAAGAACCTTCTTGCCATCCCAAATTAAGCACACCGTGAGCAACCAGAACCCCAGTTCCACCTGTCTCTGTGGACCAGACTGTTCTGGGGACTGCTGTGTGTGGAGTCATACTATACTTTTTGTGACTGGCTCATCTGATATACCATGACTCTCTCAGGTTCCCCTACCTTAGAGAAGATGTCAGATTCGTATGAATGTCTTGGAAGACTTATTTAAAACATGTCTTTGCAAGTTTTACC